GCGTCAGTTCTGGCACAGGCGCGTCCGGTCAGTAGCGTGGTTTCTTACTCTTTATCTGTTTTTCAGAGGAACTAGAACTGTTCCCCACAGTTTTAACGTAAGGAAGGCGGTTCTGGCCGTTCAAAGCGGTGACTACAATCCCGAGACCGGAAGGGGTGGCTTGCTGGCACTGTGTTCTGAGCAGCGTGAGCCATCCCTCGAGAGACGAGCGATTGCCATGCTGTTGTAACTGTCTTGTGTTTGGGCTGCCACGTGTGTGGCAGTGCACTAACGGCTGGCTTGGTGCGGGTGCCGGAGGCATTTGGCTCAAGCTGGCACTTGCTCGCCACCTGGGCTTCCCAGGGACCTACATGCGTCCTGTGAGGCTGAGACAGGCCTAATCAAGTATGTGCCACTGCTGGCAAGCCGTGGTGGCTGCTTTGCGTTATCTCTTGGTTCATCAGGTCTTCAAAGTAATGACAGGTCAGACACCCAAAGAGACTTGGTTTTGCTGATAAATCGCATTCATCAGCAAATGCATGTTCTAATTTGAAAGATAAATTACTTTTTTTTTCCTTTGGGAAATTTGGCAAGTGTTACATGGTGACCCTGACCGTGCCCTTTTTGGGTCATAAACACTGATCCAAAACAGTGGGTTCTGGCAGGGACAGGACCCCAGGGTCTCAGCAGTCTCTGCGGTAACGCTGGACTGCCAGGAGCACTGCGCAAGTGCTGACCTCAGCCCAGCCAGTGGGAAAACACGTCAGTAAGATCCCCAGAGTGCGGAACGTGAGCCAGGGTTAAAGGCTGTGCCCTGCCGGGGTGCTCCTCCCCAGCAGGGGCTGCTCGTTAGGGGCAGCAGAATAGACCTGCAGTGAGTTGGTTTTGTACTGGACCTTGTGTTGGGTAACATGGTCATGCCTCTGATGTTGGTCTTGGCCGACGCTGTCTGTAGCTTTCTCCCCAGCTACAGATAACGCCAGAGGTGAGGTTGCCTCGTAGGTCTATGTTTCTTTGACTGGCTTATGTTCCCCAAGGAAGTGCTGATGCTTTGCCACTCCTTCAGTTGTGGAGGTCTCCAAATCAGATGTCTGTTATTTCTTTTCATTGTTTAGGCAGCAAGTGACATTGAGATGAGTTTGTTACTGACTTTGGGAATCTTCAATCTGGACTTTGCCGTGCTCTCACCTTGCAAGCAGAAAGATGTCACAGGAATTCTGGAGCTATGGAAGTAATTATTTCTTACTGTACTTAAAAATGCTGAGGAAAGCCTCCTGAAATCTAGATCTAGAGGTCTGAAGCTGGTTTATGGCTTGTAAATTCTCTTGCGGATGAAGCAAGGAAGATTGTGATTGCGTGTAGGGTTAAGAGATTGAAATTCTAACAAAAGGTCTTGTGGCAGCGATAAAACCTCTAAGACTGGCTCCCCAGAACAAAGTGGGTGCAATTTGAGAATCCTGAAGGAATCAGAGGGGAGAGGTTTGTGGTAGTGCTAGAGAATCTACTTTTTACTTGGGGAGAGAAATAAGACTTCTGCTCAGAAGAGTTAATGGGTGCTAGTTGGCAGCGGGAGACTAAAGTGTTCAAATCACCATCCTTGCATCCCTGTATCAGCCTGTTGGAATACATTCAAAAGGGAAAGGTGCCTCTGGCAGTGAACTGCACCTCTGGAAAGGCACTTGGCAACTGGGGCTTGAAATGTAACACCAGGGAGGGACTGGCATGTCTGTGTGTGCCCAGAGAGAGCTTTTTGACTCATGTTCCTGGTGATACTGAATCCATTCTGTGCTTAACAGTTAAAAACAAGGTTCGGTGTGGATTTACAGAAGTGCATCTCTTGAGACAACAAGTCCCCTTGTGCTTGATACCTGGAAAAAATTACACCAGTTTTACTACTGGCAGGGAAGTTGGCACAGTGATGATGACTCTTTGCCGTTTACCCAGCTGAATTTTGTGATGAGCAAAGTTATATCTGATGTGCCAGCTAATTAGTAGGATTTTCCCAGTTTGATTTGCTGACTTCTGATTTATTTATTCTTTTAAAGGTGCTGTGACATCACGTGACCTTCTCAATTGTCTTTGAGCCTTCTGTATGCCCATGCAGCCAACAGCAGACTCCGTCCACTTCTGGAAGTGTGGGGGTTTAAGAAGGTGAGTCACCGTTTCGCTGTGGTGGTAGAGTATGCAGACTCCAGTACGCTGTGGGGCTAGCTGGGGAAGGCCTGTACTGGCCACGTTTGCAGTCTGGAGCTGTGCTGGCTTACATCAGCTGAAGGTGTGGCTCATTAGTCGAGGACGCTTCTGGACTACTGACTGACTTTGCTGTCCTTGACATGTGGGGCTGCTAGAAGTCTAATTTTTGCTTAAAACTTTGTGGGAGAAGCTGGGGAGGGGTAAGGATAAAAGGTTGTGCTGTTTTTGCAGGAAGCTTTTTTTCTAGGGATATACATTCGTTAATACATACAGCTTGTCAAAAATAGTGATTTATAAAGGAGTTCTATTTAAGTCTATTCTAGAAGTAATTTTGCTGGCAAAATGATGAAGTCTTTGCCGTTTACCCATCTGACTGTTTTTTGATGTGTATCTTGGAATCTGAAATGCCAGTAAAGTTAATAACTTTGTATAAGATTGATTAAGGGTACAGAAAACTGACTTGCTTATTTTGGAATTTTTTTTTTAGCTTGAAAACAGCAGCCTGAAATGTAGAGTGCTAATGTGCTTGGCAGTGCTTTCATGACCCTTCCTGCTCCTCAGAAATACTGCTTGATTCAATAGTCAGGCAGGGGAGCAGCTGTTTAGTGAAAATGTGTGAATAATCCTCAAATGAAGTTTAGGCGAGAGTCCCTCTAGGAAGGGAAGTGGCCTTGTGGATGCTTTCAGAACTTAGTATGAATATTTAAGCGTACTCAATAAATTGATCAAAATTGAATATATTGAGGGTTAAAACATGTGGGACAAACTAGTATTCTCTTGTCCAAATGCGAGTGTTTACAGTGTTAGTGGTGGCAGCTTTTCTGCTTATCTTCAGGGCGATGTGTGTATGAATAAAGTCTTGGATTTCTGTTTCTAGTGACTGTAGCTTTTTGTGGAGGCTGTGTGAGCAGAAGCACCATGATCCTGCTGGATGACATCCTGGGTAGGAGTCACACCAAGCCTTCAGTATTCAGCTTGTCCGGATTTGACAGGAAGTCTGTGCGATTTATCTGCTGCTTTTTTTTGATGTAAAACTTGCTCATTATTTCTGTCTACTGTATTCTTACCAGGAAGATAAAGACAGGGAAGTCTGTAGTTGGAGAAGCATACCGTATGCCAGACACCTCATCTTCTGACACACTATTCCTTACGCTTGTTTTTGCAGCGAGGTACAGTTGAACTCATTGAGCTGCCTACCTGCCAGGTCATCTAACAATATTTTTTGGTTTTTTGGTGGTGATCGGTTTGTGGGGTTTTTTTTTTCCCTTCAGCCTCCTCTATAAGGTAACATGGAAATACTGGATTTTTTGCAGATTGCAGGAGCACACGGGCATCCTGGTCTAATATTATGTTGCTGTAATGTAAAACTAAGACATAGAACTCAAGCAGTATTTTTATACATTTTAAAATTTCTAGAGCATGAGTAATTTAAGCCAGCTTACCCTAGGAAAATGGAGTTTTAATGTACTTGCCTTTCATTGGGCGATACACTGGAAAGAAGCAACAAGAAAAACAGCAGAGTTCCTGTAGGTGAGATGAAACACTGGATTCTAAACTCCTGGTTTAATTACTTAAGTAGTCATTAAAAACTCTTGCTTTACTCCTCACGTAACTGTGGATGAACAGTGGTAGCCAGGAATAGAAGTTCAGGTTCTGGCTTTGTTCTGAAGCCATGGCGTCCCAGGATGAAGACATCGCTCTTGCCTTCAAATGACGCTGTCACAAAACTTGTAATGAAACTTGTCAGCTATGTTTTATTCCTTAGCAATAAATTCCTTTACAAAAAGATGAAAAATTTTACTGGTTGTGTACTTCTAACTGCAGTGTCTCGAAAAGCTGAAGCTTTAGGCTTTACTTAGAGTGGAGTTTTCACTCTTCATTAGTGTTAACATGAGTTCCTGGGCCATATGCACCAATAAACTTTAGCAATTGATGGTGACACTGCATGAGGTAGTTGTCTCTCTGTTGCAAGGAGTTTTCATCACTGAGGTCAAATGGAAATACAGGATTTGGTGCTATGCACAATGCAGACTTGCCTGAGCAAAGAAGAAATCAAGACTTACACTAAAAGACTTAAACTTTTGCTTGAACTTGGAAGGAAAAAAAAGCTCTGACATGAATTACTTATTAATGCAATCTTGTGTGTTAGCCATTTTTAAGTGTTGCATCATAATACTTGTCTCTGCCAAATTTGTGACTGTGATGCTAGATAAGCAAAAAAACCCCAAAACAACCCTCACCCTCTGCTTCCTCAGGGAGGGAAGCCTGTCTGGACCAACGTTAAGGGGAGTGATGCCTCAAGCCAGCATAAAGGCTGGAGGCTTGGTGCTGGCCTGTGGCCTAACGGTGTACAGGCAGCGTGGAGACTGTGGGAAAGTCAGGCAGAAAAAGACTTTTCTGATACCAGTCTTCAACAGGGGAAATTCTGGACTTTAATTTGAAATTAATTAACTATTCTTGCGATCAGTTCAAACTGACAAAATACAAAAACGATGTACCTAGCTAAAAACAGAGTTGCATTATTTACCGTGTTTAAGAGATGACTCAAGTAACAAGATGGCAATCAATGCATCTTCCTCGAGTACTTTCTGTCTTAAACTTAGTTTAGTATGAGCCTTAGACAGTGAAATCCTGAGAGATGAATATAAGCATGTCAGAAACAAAAAATACTGCAGACGTAAGCACAATGTGTGTTGCTCTGTTTCAGGCACTTCTGTAAATTGAGACTGACTACTGGGATGGGGTTTTTCCATACTTCAGCTGTGTAAACTTCCCACAAATGCCGTGCAGTTACACTTGTTACTGAAAGTACATATTACTACGCATGACTTGGCCTAAGAAAGCAGTACAATTTGGCATGTTAGCTATTGTTCATACTTTTTTTGCTTGCATAATACAAAGCTGTGATAATTTGAATCCCACTTGTTTTTGTAGGTAGATTTAATAGTGATCATTGTTTCTTAAATCACTAGGGTTTTGCTTGGCAAAACTTTCTGCAACATCAATATATAAAATAAATGGTGTTCATAAATGATAAGTAAGATTCTTTATGCTAGAACTTTTCAAAACTTAAGTCATGTCTAGATTTTCATTTAACGAGCTCTTGAGCAGGTTAGCAGAATTTCTTTTTGAAACATAAGATGTTTCCTTTACTATGAAAAGTAGGACGTACAGTGTTTTTAGCGCAGATGCTGATAATGTTGATCCATGAATAGAATCTCTTCTCACTCTGCGACTTGCAAGGTAGTAGCCCTGAATGAGGTTTTCTGCTTCTGAACTCAGTTCAACATGAAGATTCTTTGCAAACAAAATAAACTGGAGAGAGGGTAGGCATTTTAAATATTTAACTGGAAAATAAAGAACATATATTTTTTCACACCTTTTAACATACCAGTGGCATAGTAATATGGTTTGGACAATATAATCTACCAGTAGTTTTTATAAAGACAGCTGTGAGCATTCAGCTATGCCTAAGGACAGATCTCACTGTCTGTTAGAATCATCTGTTAATTACACTAGAGATGCTGACAGTTTATTTACAACAGGCTATTAATTTATACTGATGGTGAACTAGTCTGGTCAAAAGCAGGTACTGGAGATCTGTTCTCACGTGAATGTTAACCTTGTATTCTTTTTTTTTCAGAAACGATCAGACTGATTTATTACACTGGTGCTTTTAAAGAACTGAAGCTCATTTCACCAATGATCCTATTAGTGCTACTGGGAATATGGTGGGGCGAAAGGGCAGCAGGTGAGTGTTAACAGGTTTAAATAAGTAATCAGAGTGTGCGGAGACAACCTGATTCCAGGAGCAGTATGATATTCCCGCATGTAACGCCTGTCTAAATTATTGGGTAGTGTCTCTTACCTGTTCGTAATCCTGCGTTCTGAACTGCTGTGAGACTTTGTGCAGCATGGCTTCAGGATTAATGGCTTTTTTCAAGGTGTGATGTACCAGAGGGGAAGATAGCTGACATGAAGGAAACTCATTGTATATCAAAAGCCCAAAAACATCTACAAGGTTAGGTGGAATCAAACTCACGTCCTAAAGAGAAGACCCAGAGAAAGAAAATGACTTTATTTAGGCCTTTTGACTTGTAGAAACATTGCAGTTCAATACCTGTGTCTACTGAGTCCTGCAAGGTTATCCAATGAATTACCTACAGTATATACAGTAGAATTTTGGTTCAATAGTTCTTGTCAAAAGCTATTCTGAACAAAATAAATGATACCTACTTTTGGGAAAGCTAGCTCATTTTAGAAGGTACTTGATTTAACGTCACTTAAGTTGTGACATTTGGGGAATTACTAACAAATTTTATTGTTATCATTATTTTATAAGTTGAAACAACCATGAACACAAATGACTGCTATGTTACAGGTACTGCCATCACAAGGCTTGTACTTTACCATCTGTCCAATTAACAAGTTATCCTTTTGTGTATGTTTCCTTGAGGAAGAATCCACATTTACAAAAGACCAAAAATTGGTCTGAACTGAAACAGTAACTTGTTGGTCAGCCTCTTCTCCGTACTTCTTCCCAGGAATGAATACTGTTGTCATTCTGCTCTCTAGTGCTAGGACAGGACAAAATACATCAGTTACGTCAGTCTCATTTAACTATAAATCCTAGTCCCACCCACACTATCTGAAACCAGTCACAAGTATGCATTTCACTGAATTGTCATGATCAATGGATTTCTGTAGCATAGCCTATGTAGGAAACGTAACCTTACAGGGCCCTGGCTTGTTTGGCCTTGTTTCTTTACACAGACTTATCAAAAATAGCTTTCAGATTTTTTTGGCATTTGAGGGCCATAAGCTGGGGAATGAACCTAGCCATGAATTTGCATGTTTGTTTTGTTCTGTCGCCTCATTTGTTAGTAGGTGTGAGATTACCGGACTGTAGCAGTTCAAGTTTATCCTTTTTATATGAAGATAAGTCTCCGATGTAACAGATACCACCCTTAGCCAGGACAGTGCTGCAAGCTTGAATACTGGCACTTCCAGTTCCATGTTTATCTTTGGACACAGAAGGAAGAATTTCACTAGAAGGTGGGTGACGTATGCCACGAGGCAGGAGACATATGCTGTAATTCAGAAGCCTAGAGGATCAAATAATTCTGTCATGAATTGTTAAAGTATTGTTCAGTTTTTTGAAACTTAAACAACTTGATATAACGCTTGATATTTATATATATTAAGACTCACTTAGAAACAACAACAACAAAAACAATCTTAACATAAAATCAGTGTCAAACCAAAATGTTTGAAGTAACTTTGAATGCAAAGTCCAAGCCTTCTCTCCAACAGCTGCCCACAGGACTGTGTTTCTTACGGGTTTAACATGAGGCAAATTATAGCTTGTAATAGCAGTAATTTCAAGGAAGTCAAAGAAATCTCTAATTTACCCCTGTATTTCAACTTGTATTCCTATTCTAGAGAAACACTTCTAGGGATTAAAAGGGTAGAGGATTAGTAATCCTGGCCATCTGGGTAAAAGGAAAGGCTGGGAACTTCCAAGCTCTGTCTGACTGGGTTACCCCCCTGCCCCCCCCTTCTTTTTGAGAAAGAAGGTACAGAATTTTTTCATCCCCTGCACTATGTTCCTTGGCACAAAGAGGTTGCAAATGGTCTGTCTGGTTCCACAGTCAAAGGCTCCTAACAATTTTAAGATGTCAGAGCACGATTTATCCTTCTATTAATAACTGGGAGAAAAGGAATTAAAATTACTAAGTATTACTAAATAGACTATCATACCAATAGAACCATGATGTATGAAATGCCTGCTTTGACAGGCTACTGACAAAATACTCTGTACACAGGCAAGACAGTCCTGACTATGACTTACAGTGTGCAACTGTTTCAATGTTAACCAGATGTTTTGATTCTTAAAACACTCTGGGATCCTATGATTTCTCTTATGCAGTCTCACCCTTAACCTGGGGAAGGAAATCCTGCAGCCTTGAAATAGAACTCATTTCTACAGCTAAATTTTGAAATGGTTAAAGTATTTTTTCCACAACAAAAAATACTAATGAATTTGTTGAACTCTTAAATGAAAATAAAATTCATGCCACTTTCAAAGATGTTTTTCAAAAAGAAAAATGAAGCCCAGTTTTGAGTTCGGGAAGGAGAAAGTACTTTTGTTTAAATTAATGCAAATTTAAAGCTGAGCATATCGTACTTTTTCTGCAGCGTATGTGAAATTGTGTTAAGAGTTTATAGTCGTGTGAAGGGGTAAATACATAAAATGCAGAAATAAATGTATCTATTTGCACACTGCTTATCAACTGAAAATGCTGATAGCTGGGAAGTCGAGATGGAAAGGCTTAAAGTGACATGATTTGAAAAGCAGCGCCCTTTGCTTTTGTCATTACCAGCTTCTGGGACAGCCTTCAGTTTTGATTTTAGAAGAAGGTTGTGTTTTGAGCTCTGCTAAACAGGGCTAATCACTACAAGAGTGTTAAGGAGTTTTATTATTAGGGAAGCTCTGATCTAGATTTATCACTTGAAATAAATAAAAATGTCTCAGGGATAAAAATTTGGTATTTTTACTAAGTTGGAGCCCTGTATGTTCTTTTAGAATACAGTCTGTAGCTTTTCATGTAAGACCAATCCTATTATCTTTAAAAATACTCATGTTTGTCATTCTAGTGTGTGTGAAAAAAATAAGGAATCTCTTTACCTATCGATTATTAGTGTGTCGCTTGTCACAATCAACAGATCTAGATAATCTGCATTTTCTTTTTCACACGTCTGTACTAGACTCAGCAATATTGTGAGCTTAAGAGTATTGTAAGTGCCTGGTGGAACAACTTGAGAAGCAAAGATATTGGCAAGAATGGCAGTAAACCTCCAGCATGACCTCGAAGTCAGTGAGAGCAGATACTTAAAATTGTCACCAATAAAAGAAGGACCTAATGAAAACAAAGCAGAGGTTAACAAACAATAAGAGCTATGCAGATATGATAGAACAAATCACCATTCCAGTCTTGATACAAATCTTCCAGAGAATGATTATGTTTATGTATTAAGCACAAATTCAGAATATAAACATCTGGCAATTTTACTGCTAAAAAGGTAGCAGACATGATCTGCTAAAACTGATGGAATAAGAAAGGAATAACAAACTGAAGTATCAGGTTCACTCAATGTGTGATTTCAAAGTACCTTCCAATTGATAAGAGAAGTTAGAAAGAGGAGTTGGAAAGAACTGAAGAACTGCAGTAAATAATGATGTAGTTTCCCAACGCATGGGAAGTGGGCAACAGGATCTATTCTCCAATAACAGTAAGCATGCATTGCAGGCTGTCAGGGGAAAGGCCCAGACTGGTTTTGTAGTCTGGACCTCCAGATAGCAGAAAACTATACCAATTCTCAAGATTTTGTTCTAGAAGGTTTTCCAACTTTTAAAGTCCATTTTCAATGGAACTTTCTTACCATTTGGTTTACAGAGCTGTACACTATTGACTTCTATACATGCTGTGGCTTGTAAGCCATTTTGCACACAAGCTGGAATTCCTATAATCTTGTAGTGGTTTCCTATTTTCATTTGATTGGCCAGTTCATCTAGAAATTAAAAAAAGGTGGTGGTGGTGAGAGGAACCTGCAGATGTTCTAGGGCATAAAAACAGTTTTAAAGACATGGTCAGAAAACTTTTCTTCACACTCTGAATGGTTCAATTTTATGATTTAATTGCAGAAAACAACAGTTGATGCCAGCTTCACCATAATGGACTAGAATAAAATTAAGCATACAATTCTAATTAATTAGTGCAAAAGGTAAGGAAGGCACTGGGTGAGGAAAAGTAGATTCCTGATAAAGAAAGTGGATGATGCGCTTTTAGTTCTGCACAGAAAATAAAATGGACAGTTGTTTGCAAGTATGCGTTCCTGCTTTGAAACTTGTGGTGACACAATTACCTGTTACTGTCCCATAAAATGTCAGAGAAAAAAAAAACACAATGAAAAGGCGATCCAAACTAAAGAGATTTGAAAAAGCTGCACAAATAGCTTTGGGAACTTTCCTATTTCTGTGCATCTAACACCACCCCCCTCCAAAAAAAATCACATTTACTTTTTGGAAATGGGAGTTTAAGAGTATTGTAACCAAATATGAATCTCAGCTGTGAGACCCTGTCTAACATTATTGATCACTGAAGCCAGTGGAAATTTAAAGCATGCATAACTCGCATATCTCACATGTAGATTGTTTTAGAATTTTATTATTTCAGTATTCTTAGTCGTATTATTATTATTATTTTCTATTTAGTTTTCTGCAAATGAACTATAGAATTCCATAGACTTTTGGAATGGTGGGTTGGGTTTTTTTGAAGATAATTAATGGAAGTATGTTGATGAGTTGTAATTTGAGTTGGATATTCACATGAGAAATCATTTCATGTTTGCAGTGGAGGGTGGTGGTAGTAGAAGCCAAAAATCCTGAAGGAATGCAGAAAACAGCCAAATTGAAGAAGGATGTTAAAAATACCTGAAGTTAGTACAAAACAGTATGACCAAATGAAGTAGAAAGGAGGAAAACCAGGCTACAGTTAGAATGCAATATGGCAGTATTGGCCAGGGGATTTTATTTAAATGAAGGTATAAAAGCAAACACAACAATTTGGCCATGTGCACTCTTCAGTTACCTGCATATACTGTTATACTATACCTAGCCAATTTTATGTATTTTTATGCAACATAAGGAATTGGCTGGACTGCAACGTGGTCAACAGCTCAATGTTCAAGTGGAGGCCAGTGATGAGCAGTGTTCCTCAGGGGTCAGTATTGGGACCTGTGCTGTTTAACATCCTTGTCAATGACATGGACAGTGGGATGAGCGCATCCTCAGCAGGTCTGCTGATGACACCAAGCTGCGTGGGGCGGTCAACATGCTGGAGGGAAGGGAGCCCATCCAGAGGGACCTGGACAGGCTGGAGAGGTGGGGCCATGTGAACATGAAGGTCTACAAGGCCAAGTGCAAGGTCCTACACCTGGGTTGGGGCAATCCCAAGCACAGACACAGGCTGGGCAGTAGGTGGATCGGAAGCAGCCCTGCTGAGAAGGACTTGGGTGTGCTGGTGGATGAAAAACTGAATATGACCTGGGAATGTGCACTTGCAGCCCAGAAAGCCAGTCACATCCTGGGCTGCATCAAAAGTAGCGTGGCCAGCAGGTTGATGGAGGGAATTCCCATCTTGTCCAGTCTGGTGACATGCCACCTGCAGTGCTGCATCCAGCTATGGGGCCCCCAGCAGAAGACACACATGGACCTGCAGGTCCAGAAGATGCCCAGGGGGAGGGAGCACCTCCCCTGTAAGGACAGGCTGAGACTGTTGGGGTTGTTCAGCCTGGAGAAGAGAAGGTTCCAGGGAGGCCTTACAGTGTCCTTCCAGCACTTAAAGGGGGCTACAGGAAAGGTGGGGAGGGACTCTTGATGAGCGAGTGCAGTGATAGGACAAGGGGTAACAGTTTCAAACTGAAAGATGGGAGATTTAGATCAGGTATTAGGAAGAATTTTTTCACTGTGAGGGTGGTGAGGCACTGGCACAGGTTGCCCACCGAAGCTGTGGCTGCCCCCTTCCTGGGAGTGTTCAAGGCCAGGCTGGATGGGGCTTGGAGCAACCTGGTCTAGTGGAAGGTGTCCCTGCCCATGGCAGGGGGGTTGGAACTGGATGGTCTTTAATGTCCCTTTCTATGATTCTATGAATATAAATTATGACTTTCACCATTTTATGCAGTGAAATGGACCTATAAGGAAAATGCAAGGGATTATTACAGTTCAATTCTAAAATATTTTTGACAAGACTCCAAAATTCAGCTTACCTCTCAAGAAAACTGTAAATGTCTGAATCCTAAAATGTGATTTATCACTGGAATATCCTTTCAAAGCATTAAGAACTTTTGCATCTATCATTTCAACTATTTGTTTATCTTTCAAAATAAAGGCAAAGAAAAGGTTAGTTCTCTAGAAAAAAGTACAGGCTTTTTCCATTTAACTGTTTTGTTTACTTATTGTGTAACAGAAGTTTTAAAGCTCTAAAAATAAAACTGCATAGATCCTACCGCCAAGTACTCTAAATTTCATGTCTTCTTGCAGTGGCGAAGAACACAGACTACACACAAAATCATTCCTCACTGTGGCAGATTCTGTAGCTCCAGGCAGATGCACTCTTATGTACTTGAACCCTAGGGAAAAGAAAAGTACCAAACATGTGAAAGGAGGGCATGGCTTTAATTTTAAATTTCCCATTAAGAATAGAAGTGATTAAAATACTGGACAGTGAAATTTGAAATTTATCATGTGTTTCATCAGATGAGCATATATCTACCATGCTTCCACTAAAATGATCTGTAGAATTCATTACAGGTCGACCAGAAGATGGCAGAATTTCCTACTGCACATTTCCAAGCAGAACACTTGGCCTGGCTTCCTGAGCAGCAGGAGCTTCTGCCTGGTGTGGAAATGACATGGGATATGGAGGTACATGCCCTCATAAAGATACCATTGTGATTTATTCTGCAGTCTCCTAACTTTGGGATTTTGCGTCTCTTTTATAATTTATGGTCTCTGTTACAGGAAGAAGCAAACAAAACAGCCTTAAAGTTACTTAAGGCCTAATCTGGCAAGGATGTAAACAGTTCAGAAATACTAATACTCACAGAAGTAGTTCCACAGAAGTTAGCTACTCATTAAAGCAAACTTGTTCTATGCTAGAAGCTTTTGCCAGTTACTTAAGCACACTGTTCTGCGGTATTTTTATGTAAGCAGAAAAACAGTTTCCATGAAAAAGAAAAGTTTTCTACTAGTTTATGGGTTTTTTCTTTCAGATAATTTATTAAATTATATCGGCAACATATCTTTTCTTATATAAACTATCTTCAGCATTAGGAAAAGGGATTGCTGGCATAGCTGTGCTCCCAAAACATTTAATAACACTGAGCAACCACTGGCTTTCAATTACTAAAAATCATGCTGTGTTCATTTCAAAAATGTCTGCATAGGAAAATGCATTTTTCATGCTAGATTTTTAATCTCTTAAGTTATCAAAATTATTAAAAAGCTTTTTAAATAGTACTGATTTTTTTTTCACTACCTTCAGAAAATGGACAGGTTTCCTCAGTACAAAGAAATCTTGCTCCTTGTGTGTATTTTGTTACAGTTCCCATTGCAATTGCTATTCCTTCAGACATATAAAATCTTTGAGGAGATGTGTAATTAAAGGGAAACGTAGAAAGACTCAGAACATAACTTGGTAAAGGTGGCAAATGTGTTGGTTCCAGCAGTATACTAATCTACCAAGAGACACAATACATTAATACTGTAAAAATACTTTTTATTTAAAACTGCTTTACTTACACACAATGTGATATATAGCTATTAGAAAAAAATTTAGAAACACATGAAGTGGAAGAGTAATTAGGTTTCATATTAATTATCTCTGAATTCTTGGAATATGGTTGGGTGAGACTTCCAGCTATTTTTAATTACAAATAATACTACAACCAAAGGGAAAAAGAAAACTGAAAAGTTAATACAAAAATAGTATTTGTTAATACATCACCATACTTAAAAGATTTCAGATCTAAATGGAGGAAAACAATGCAGCCTCACCTGGGCCTCTGTCTCCAATTGTTCAATTAACGATAATGTTTTAATAGCTATAAAACATACCTGTGATTGAAAAATAACTTTGTTTTAGAAAAGTAAATCCGGTTAAAGTATAGAAGATGTACTTTTGTCTACTCTTGTCTATAAATATATACTTACTGACTGAAAAATTTGTGCAGCTTGTATGGGATTATGAAGAATGTAGTTTCCAAGAGTTGCATCTAATTCAGCAATATCAGAAGGATTTATTGAAATAATGAAACGATAAACAGCGTAACTTTGTTTTGAGTCTGTAGGGGCAAAAAGTACCTTAATAAAAATAACACAATTTGTGTAACATTACATATCACCTCAACAGAATATCTATTGAGTATTACCATTATATTTTTTGCAGTCGTGCATGAATTTCTGAAGGCCACCACTTCTGTCAAGGTAAACAAGGGCAATTTCCCTCATTTTCTGTATTTCATGATGCATCTTCCAAGAAAGATCGTTGCACTGTTTATCAAAATGTTGGAATAAACTGTAAAGAAGTGACGTTAGAACTGGCCATGCTATGATAATAGTAAAGGTATGTATTAACAAAGCCATACAAAATTAAAAGTCTGTTTTTCAAACTATGTAATTCTTTAAGGATTTTTAAAATACCACTATTCAACTGAAAGTTCTTCTAATGGCTGAAGCATACTACATTTCCAAAGTAAAGTAAATTCCTGAAGAATGCTCCAGTATTTTCTCAGTGAATTATTTCACTGCTCAATTGCCTAACCCATGAAATTAAAGCTTGCATTTCATTTAACCTCCCCTATATATTTTATAGGCATAATCAGCCTACGAAAAGCAAGATGTAAATATCCCCCTTATCTGAGAAGTCTGTCAGAGCTGTTAAAAGTGTGAAACTGGGCAACATCTTTTCCCCTTTTTAAATATCACTTTCCTACTCAGCTGTTATGTCCTGTAGCACCCACTTAAGGTGCTGACCTTGCAAACGCTTATTGCCATCCATGTACACAGAAGATCAATTCTGATTCCCATAGACAAAACTTCCACAACGACAGTTCTGGTTTGGAGGCTGACCATACTCTTTAGCGTTGTTTCCATTGTGTATTAGCCATACCTCTGCATTTCTTTTAAGTAAAATCTCCACGAAGCACTACTTTGCTGAATTTAGAGAATTACTAAGGCCAAAATACAGTATTTTGTATATACATAGCTGTTTTACGGTCTTACAGATTTTCTTCTACAAAGTGTCCTTTGTCCTCTCTGTAGATGACCAATATGAAACGCCACTTAAATCTTCAAAAATAGATTTAGCTGCCTAGTAAAGGACAAGACACAGAATTATTGGGCTGACGAGGAAGCGAAGCTCACAGCTTATGAAAGAGCCTCTGTAGGAGTTCACAGAACTGGGTTTGGGAGGACAAGCACAGCAACATCTGAGAGAAGAGCAACTGGATACCAGTGCAACACTAGTGTGGCAGCAGTGTAAACCCTGTCGTCAGAGAACTGTATGCTGTGGGCTGGTAGCAGTGTTTAGTGGCCTGAAGTATCACATTTTAAGGACAAGTTGAAAGATAATTTATAGTAGGGATTTTATTTATTTTTTTTTTAAGTTTCTTCAGGATCACTCCTACATGATTACTGCTCCATCCCTTGAAATCTTCAGCAAGAAGGGATGAAAGAAATGCAGACACACACACACACACAGACTCACTGTTATCACCCAGGAGCCTGTGTTCCCCGGACTAGAAGGAAAGGTCACCAAACACCACTAGGAAGGAGTAAGCTATGGCCCAGGTCATTGTGCACTAAACACAGTCATCGCCTAAGCTTCAAAAAATAGTCTGACCAGTCCCACCGCCGGGGTGGCCATGTCCATCAATATCCCCCCCAACCAGCTAACCCCCCTCAGCTGCGCTCCAGTGTGTGACACGGGCACGATGCCCAAAGCCACTCCCCGGCTGCAAGCTCCCGCCATCAGCACCCCTTCCTCACAAAGCCCAGCGGCGCTCTCTCCGAAGTGTTCTCCAGGCTTCCTACGCCCCCGTCCTCAGCACTGCTGTGCCGGCAGCCATGGGCTGTGAGGGCGACCGGTAAGGAGGCGGTAGCTA